GTCCTGACCATAACAAAATACCCGCTTGATGGCTGCTGAATGGCTCTGACTGTAGCGCTTGTTAAACCAAAGAAATCTCTCCCTCATTAAAGAGCAGCTGTAAACCTCTCGCTGGCTTGTGTTGGTCCTGATTATGTGGAGTTATGCGTGAGGGACTCCAGTAATCTCTCTTTCTCTCTCTTTCTCTCTCCTTCTCTCTCTCTCTTCTCTCGCGGTGCTGTAATTGTAGCGTTTTGCACACGATCTGTCAGAGCGAGCCCGTGCTGTGAGGCCTCCGAGGATGACAAGCTGTCCATCTCCTCACCCTCCGAATCTGTTCCTACGCTCATGACAAGCTTAGAGACAGTTTAATGTGTCAGATTTACTGAGTGGTTTCCGGCCGTTCTGATATATAAGGAGACTGAAATCATATCCGGACCTGGGTTGCTAGTTTCTTAAAGGGCCCGTCTCATGCAAAATAACTCTTTTCACATTGTGTCTTCTGCACATATACAAGCACAATTTGGGTTTTGGAACATCCATTACACAATAGTTATTAAATCTTACTGATTTCTTGGAGACCAGACCAGAAACTATGAAAGACTGACTATTGCTCATCCCCCGCCCGTCCTGAGAAAGCACAGACTCCTCCCTCCAAACGTGACGTAGGCCCTGAGTGAGCCGCCCTTCCTCCGCCATCTCAGGGAGGGAGGGAGAGACAGGCGTGCACCCTGATAGTGGTAGAAATAAACTTTTATTCATCATGGCGATACAGCGCGTTCGGCCACATGTGTTGGACCCGGAATCAGACGAGAACTTTGAGGTGTTTAGAAAATTAGATTGTGGAAAGATTTCTTTCAATCTGTCTTTGTGTAAATGAATGTGATTTCTACCTGAAACCCAGACCAGTCATGAACATGTGTAAAGATTCATCAGACAACTGTCTCCTCCTTCAGGAAGCCTTTTGTTATCATCAACTGTGTGTTAATTTAGCACCAGCCTCTGAAACCAAAGTCACTCTGCTTTGATATGTATGTAACTTGTATTTCTGTATAAATACTCAGAGCTCAAATGCTCTGGGGAGATACGGTGGGGAGATGGAGTAGGAACATACTGCCGGCGGGGAGAGGCTGTTGGGCAGATATGGACAGGCTGAGGCCCTGTCCATATCTGCTTTAACAAGAATAAACCTTGGTCTATATTTCAAAAACTCATCGGGATTCACAAATGGATTCATTATTTATCTTCAAGAGATACATAATTTTTGCCACAACAGATGCACGAAGCTCAAGCATCGTGTCAGCATCAGCTGAACATTACTGATTGATAAAGTATTAATAAACACCAGTAGATAAACTTATTATATCGTGTACACTGCAGTGTAGAACAATGAGCTTATGCTGTCGCTTTTGTTTAGGTGTTTATGTGGGAATTTTCAGCCGATGCGGGGTGGAGACGGTGGAGCGGGGGAGGGAGGCGGGTGTGAAACGCTTTCTGCTACGTCAAACGCGTCATAGGTGTAGTTGCCGCGTCATCGTTGTAGCAGCTTTAGTTCGTTGTCACGTGGGAAGGTGGCAGAAATACGCTGCAATTTGTTCAAAAAACACCAAATCAATCTAAAAACCACTTTGACGACATATACAAGGCCCAATAATTCACCCCAATGAGCTTATAAGCACTTTTACATCTATGAGAAAGACATTTGCAACAGAGAGATTAGCCAACACATTTTAACACATTGTTTTCTCAAATATAATGGAAAAAAATCTAATACAGGTTGAGTTAATGGTTGGTTGCAGGTGCTGGGGTTTAGGTGGTCACGACCCAGATCAGAGAGGCATTTTTAGGTTTAAACCAACTAGACTGAAACTGGCAACCCAAATGAGAAACTTTTATGAGGCTCATTCTGTTTTTTTTTTATTTCTTTAGAACTCAGAAACAAAAACAACTTGTCCATCATGTTCAATGTTTTTGTAATTAAGAATAAATCAGCATTACAATTATCGTGTTTGCGCTGTATTTGGGGACACAGAGAGGTCGTGTTTATGGAATTTCAAAGCAATTCTGTCCTTTAAATATGTTCTGTGTCCAACTCTGTCTCTCCATAAATAATCCATGATTGTCTGTCAGAGGTGGGGACTTGCACGTCGTGACTTGAACTCGAGTCAGACTTGAGTCACTATTTTTAGGACTTGAGACTTGACTTGATAAAATGGACTAAGACTTGGGACTTGACTCGGATTTGAGCGCTTTTTGTTGCATCTTTTGTATGAAAAGCGCTCTGTAAATAAAGTTTGACTGATTGAGGCCTGTGACTTGAGAAATTTGATGCTTCTCTTAAAAAATATGTTTTTAGAAAATACTTTTATCTTTGCAGTTGATAAATGCACTGCTTAATTTTAAAGAACAAACTGGAACATGTCCCTCCCACTTCTCTATTTGTTACTTTAGATGTAATGAAGTACTGTGATGCAGTATCCTCAAAAAGTACTACAGTAATATACAGTACAATACAGTAAAACCGAGGGAACTACATGGCAAATTAACTATTATTTAGCACTTTTAAATCTAAATTCTTTCTATTCTGACCATAATGAGTCACACTAAGATCTTGATAAGACATTTAAAAAAAGAAAAAAATTGCATTTCTATGGCTCATATATAAATCTTCCATGACTTTTTAAGTACAATTTATTTTAAAAGTCATATAAATTGCAAAAATCTATAACCTGTAATGGTACTTTGGTTTAAAGACTTGAAATTACTTGAAGCTCAAAGCAGACGACTTGGACTTGACTTGGACTTACGGGCCAGTGACTCGAGACTCGACTTGGACTTTCTCATCTTTGACTTGGGACTTGAGGTCGAAGACTTGAGACTTACTTGAGACTCGCAAAACAAATACTTGGTCCCCCCTCTGTTGTCTGTACGTGCTGTGGTCTCTGCGACAGGCCCAGCTCTCTGTTGATCTATAAATAAAAAGTCTAATCTGAGAGGCTCACAGCACCTGTAGTCTGGCAGCGCTAAGCCAACAGGTGGCACACAAAGAAAATACTAATCTACCCTCACCCAAGGACATAGGAATGAGAAAAATGTCCCTGTAGAGCTTCCGTAGATCTTCTTAAATGTGGTAGAGTGGATAGAATTCAGAGGTGGGTAGCCATTTACTTGAGTACTTTTCTAGCAGCATACTTTTACTCCTACTTGTGTAATATTTTACTGAAGTAACAGTACTCTTACCTGAGTAAAGTTGTGGTTCCTCTTCCCACTGTGAGTAAGTCTAAAATGACAAAAGCTCTATGTTCTTCCTCCCCTGCTTCAGAATTTAGTTTGTCTTATTTATCAGTGTAGCCGCGAGGTCTTAAAAGTCTTAAAAACTTCTTAAATTTCATGTTCCTATATTAAGGCCTTAAAAAGTGTTAAATTATGTTGTCTGAGTCTTATTTTTTCACAAAGGTCTTAAATTTCATTAGCTTATTTTTTTGTTTACTCAACCAGGCAGCAGTTCAATGTTAAATGGAGGGAGGGGGAGAAAAACAACAACAACGTGAAATAACATAACATGAACGAACGTCTAATTTGGAGTATGAGCGAGCAGTACTTTGGTTTTTGGCGTCGGCGGCAATGAGTAAACAATCAGTTTCGTCTACACTGTCCAAGACGCAAAACTCTGGTCAGATCTGCTCACGTCGCGTACACGTTTACGTCACATACATCACCACGGAGCCGCCTGATGTGCAAAGCCAATCGATTTCCACACACTTTCACGTCACTGTATGCACGCAGATTTCCTCCTGAAAACGCTCACTGAAACGCAGAATAAAAAGTGAAAACGCTCCGCCAATTTTTTGTCTTCTATTAGGACCGTCGCCATAGAAACGTAGGCTTAGATTCAAGATATAAAACCGGTAGTTGGTTGGTCATTCTTAGAACTGGATCTGGTGCTTTTCGCCCGCATAATGGGTGCGACGTTGGTCCTAATTTTCACTTAAGTGGTCTTAAAAAGGTCTTTAAAAAGTCTTAAATTTGGGGTAGGCAAACCCGGGGATACCCTGTATTTTTTGTTTGTCCCTTGAAAATACCAGATTTTGTCTTGATCTCTTCATAATTTCTTGGACTAATACTTTGTACTTCTAGTCGAGTAATATTATTTTGAAGTACAATTTTTGGCTACTCTACCCACCTCTTTAGAATTCACGATCACACTTAAATGTACAATCTTGTTAAGGGTCATGGTAACAGTTACAGTAGTGAGAGTAGTACACTTATTATTATTGTTCAGTTTAGTCCCATTTTTGATTGAGTTTTGTGTGTGAAATTGTGTGAAATTGTGTTGTTATGATTCTAAACCACTCAATTTCAAGCAAAAGATTTGGTACTTGAACTTGATAACACAATAATCCTAATGTGCTTCTTCTTTCAAATTATCGTCTCTGCCTTTTATAATAGACCTGATGATATAGATTGATTCTAAAATTGTCCTAATGTGTGATTTTTTTTGTGTATCGATACTTGTTCAAATGTATGTAGTTTTGATCCCTGTTTTTGGTATTGATAAGTATCTAGGATTAAATTGTTAACAACCTTACAGGTCCTGTATGAAGCAAAATTGACTCATGTGAGCTTTAAGCCTTGTTTGAACATTGTTACCTCATTAAAAACAAACCTGGAGTTGTGTTTTGTTTCATTCACACATGTTTGAGTAACCCTTTATTATTAGTCTGTCTGCATCTCCAAAGGTCAGAATGCTCTGTTCCACCTGGTGATGAAGTGGTAGTTTTCAAGATAACGTCTGCCTGCAGTGGAGCACTTCCTGTCTTAACATGCAGGGATTGTGCGTTAAACATGTGTGAATGAAACAAAACACAACTCCAGGTCTATTTTTGATGAAGTAACAATGTTATAAAATAGTGTAGTTATGGGGCTTTAATGTGAAAGAGCCTTGAATTCACATTTGACAGTCTAACATAATCATGCCTCATCAGATTCTCTAATACCTTCTGTTTGTGTGTTATTGACAGATCTGTACTCCAGACCTGGTGGTGTTCTTGGCCTGCACTAACCATCATCTGAAGGAGAGGCTGCAGGAGAGGCTGCAGAGGGCGGAGCAACAGGGACGCCCTGACGACAACCCCAAAGCCATCGACCGCAGGCTCACCAACTTCAAGCAGAACACCATCCCCCTGGTCAAGTACTTCCAGGAGCGGGGCCTCATCGTCACTGTAAGGAGCTGTACTGTTGTTTGTGGCTCATTTCATTTGGGTATTTTACAGTGCATTGGTATTCTTGGTAAAGAATACATGCATAAAGCTTTAAGTGTGCAGTCCGGGGCCTCCTGGGGCATCAGAGGCACTTCAGGAGTCCCCAAAGGTTGTCTACACAACAAACCAACAATAAACCAAATGTAAAGAGTATCTGTTCGGAATAACTACATAAATTCTTCTTGTTACAACTTAAATCATTGGTATTTACATTTTGAGGAATACTATTACATGGTCATTGGAACTAGGTTCAAATTTTTATTGGGGACCCTGGGTGATCCATTTTGTGCCAAAAAGTATGTAAACCCTCATACTGTGGCTTTAGAGGGACAGTTCCAGAGTGTTGGAGACGTGTGTGGAGACACTTTTTTAAAATATTCCATCCAGTCCTTGTATTTGCTGCCACTAAAAACAGTCTTACCCACTCCACAAAGCACCCGAAGCAAAACAATTATAACACCAGACTGTTGATGTGATGTCTGTGTGGGTAGAATAATGTTTGAAATAAAACTAACCTTGCATTGCATGAATCGTCGCATGTTGAGGGACTATTTTTTCATATATATCAGTCCGCCTCTGCCAAACTTTCTGTCAGGAAGTACAACTTTGCTGCTGCTGCTCAGACATAAATCCTTCAATCGCAAGGTTGGTTTTACTTCTAAAATTATTCTATCAACACAAACATTTACATTGACAGTCTGGTGTAATAATAGATTTGCTTCGGGTGTTTTGTGGAGTGGGTAAGACTGTTTTTAGTGGCAGGATAACTATGGCCATTGACATGCACTAGCCTAGCACCAGCGACCTCTGCAAACACAAGGACTGGATGGAATATTTTAAAAAGTGTCTCCACACGTCTCCAACACTCTGGCTCACTGGGAAATGGGGTCCTATGTCCAAAATTCTGAACTGTCCCTTTAAATCAATAACATGATTTACAGTTGAGTTATGGGTTTAGGTTTAGGGTCAGTGTCCAGGAAGTGAATGTAAGTCGACGTAATGTGCGTGAAAAGCCCAGATGAATGTGAGTCTTTTGTTGTCCCCCGTGCTGCTCCACCTCTCTTGAATATGAGTCACTTTGTTGGTTTTACCTTGAGTCTCCTGGTGCAGAAGTGCCTGAGGAAAGAACCATCCAAACACTCTGAAATCCATCTGCAGCTGCGAGGCCACACACTCGCACACAAACACACACACTCACGCGCAAACACACACAGCTTTTCTTTCACAGACAAATACTGCAAAGATTTTCTCTGTTCAAATGAAATCAGTGAATGAAAAGTTTACAGAAGAGTGCCATGAACTACCTGCATTTTAACATTATTCATCAGCCTCCATCTGTATTAAATATTACTGATACTTTGCAGCAGATGTCATCAACATTACTCTGGGGGTGTGGCGCTAACTCGAGGCACTGCTCTGTCTTGAACCTGAGCTTTATTTTAACACAATCTGACCAGAAAGAGCTGATTTTATTTAACAATAACATTTAAGGAAGTGAGCTTGTGACTGTTTCAGATAGTCACTCTCACCTGTCACTTCCTGTTGACACCTAAATGGGGCCACGGATGCTCGAATTGATCACAGCCGTCTGAAAATGTGCTCATGTGTGGCTTGTGTCGCCATGGTAACTGCCCAACATTCCTCCTTAGACACACGTGCAGAAAATCCTTTGGAACAAAAAACAGAACTGTATCTGTGCTGTGTGTGAGTAGTGGCGCCTCTCCACAGATCTGACCTGTTAATTAGCCTGGTGCTGTCTGTCTCCATGGCAATAGATACCTTGAATCAAATGAAACAGAAAACGCACACCACAGTTCTTGTAGAGGTGCAGGTGCGAGGAACGGCAAAATAAAAGTGAAAAAATGCATTCCACATTCAGGTGGCCAATGTCCAAAAGCTTTTTTTTTTATTTTTAAATAACGTTCGTTCGGCAAAAAAAAGCCTTTGTCAGATATTTTTCTTGTTTTGGACCACAGTACAAGACCACAGAACATTCCAGGCAATGCAATAATATTTCCATGAAGACAAACATGTAGGTGATCTTCCCCAGAAAGTTACATAAGAAAAGTTACATACGACAAAAGCTCCACTAGTTGTTATAGTTAATGCTTCTATACAAGTGAGAGTTTTCCGATTTGGACCAAAGACTGTATATGTATATTCCGTATTTTCTGGGCTATTAGGTGCTCTGGGTTATAAGACGCACTGTCATTAAATGGTCTATTTTCGAACTTTTTTCACAAATAAACCACACCAGACTTTAAATGAAACACAACAGTTGGATGGGTCAGTGGGACTTTGTTTGTTCGTTCACGGTGACTCTGGGCTTTGTTCAGTGTTGTGGCGTGTAGGGAGGGTGCTGTCTGGGACCAACTGGATTGTCGGCGTGTTCGCAGTGACTCAGTTGTTCAGTCGTGTCTAGAAGTGGCACATTGCACTCACTTTTTTCGGTTCCTTCCTCCGTTCCGTTCCTCGTCGGCGTGGAGTGATGAGTGTGGTCTGTCGGGTGTTTTTCGCTGTGCGGTCGCTGTCTGCTCCGTGTGTGTTTGCGTGCGCTGCGGGTGGTGCGGCTTTGTAGTTTACTGAAGTCGTGCTGGGACACCTGAGTGGATTCGTGTATAGGGTTCTCTGGATTGTGGGGCTGGCAGTCGTTTATTTGATGGGGTTAGAGGCTTAAGAGTGCGTCTAATAGCCCGGAAAATACAGTATATGGGCATAGGTAACCCACTAGCTGCAGTGTTCCATACAGGAAGTGAGCAAAGGCACATTTCTGGCTGCATCAATTCACTTTTTATTGAAAAACTGTCTCTCATTTCTTCATAACTGCTCCTGTCAGACTCGTTATTTTGGTCTTAAAATGTTCGTGTTAACCCATTCTACACGATCCTGTGGTTTTATTTCACTATTTTGTCTTTAAATTAAGATTAATAACAGACAAATCAGTATTGCAGTATTGTACTAGGTGGTATTAAGGCAAGACAAGGCAAGTTTAGTTGTATAGCGCAATTTGTGTGCAGAATTCAAAATGAAAACTTTTCAGTTATATGCACCGCTAAACAGAACCGTTTTGTGTCTGGATTTAAACAGAGTCAAAGTAGAGGTCTGTCTCACATCTTCAGGAAGACTGTTCCAGGTTTTAGCTGCATGAATCTGAAACCCTGACTCCCCGTGTTTAGTCCTGACTCTGGGCACCAGCAGGAGGCCGGCCCCTGACTTCCTCAAAGTGGTTTGGTTTAAGTCAGGACCCAATCTGCAGTGTTCTGGTTTTAACTTATTAACTGCTAACACACAGCATATTTGTATCACCATGTTACCTTTTGTCTAGCCTGATTCATCAGCCGGTTTCACTTCGTGGAAACCATCTGACCTCGCAGCATTAGGATTTGGTCGCTCGATGATAGTACTTTTTATATTTAACCAGTTACCGCTATTTGGTTGTGACAATAAGCTTTTCCCAAATCCCGTAGGAAGAAGGGCAATAACATAAAATTCACCAAACATTCTCTTTGTTCCGGCTTTAAATCCTTGATCTTGGAAACCGTTCCCAACACAGAATGTATCTCTTCGTCTATAACCATCTCGACCGTTTGAGTTTGACGTCATGGCTTCACAGCTCTTCGTTGATTGGCTGGTGCGCGGTCTACAACTTCCGGGGTTTGTGCGAACCGATTAATGTATTCTGATTCCTGACCTAGTCGCTGGAGAGAAATGAAATTGAGCGGAGACACTAGGCACTTTTATCATCTTGAAAATGCTAAAGTCCTTCCTTTGCTCTCCACGCTAAGTCACTCTCCCTTCAGAGCTCTATCACATTGCAGTTAGCGCACACACTTCTAGTGAAACTACAACACTGCATCGTCTTTGTGAAGTTGTAGTGTGTTGTTTTGTATCATGTACTTGTGTATTTATGAAGAATGGCTCATACCGCTAAACATAAGGAGGGTTTGAATAGGGCCCGGGAAGAGATCACTAAATTACTCAAACATGCGTAGGTGACTCCAGGCATGTTTTTGATGAGGAACCAACGTTATAACACAGTAGAAAGCTCCAAAAACTCCATATCGCTTAATACCCCCTCTTTAACGTTTAAAAGAGAGATTTGATGAATGTTCCAGAAAGCCCGCTGAGCTCCTTACATTATCTCCTTTGTTAAAGTCTGGAGAAAATGCCAAAGCAGTGCGTTTAAGGCCCGCACGTAGGAATCGGCAATTACACTTTCAAACACTTCTCCCGCCAGAATCGTCTTTGTGAAGCCGTGCTCCTGCTGCGCGCTCCTGGCTCTCTCTTCTTCTTTTTCTTCTCTTTTATTTGTTTTTACATAACTGGATTGACTCGGAAAAGCACGGGGTGTTCTCTATCAGCTAATTGAATAAGCTGGGAACACGCTAATGACTTGACTAAATATTTGTGATAATATAAAAGAAAGTACTACGATGGTTCAAAGCAGCAATTAAAGAGAAAGGGGTGAAAAGTTCTTGCGTGTAAAGTCAAGTGGAGCCAGAGTCGATGGAGCTGGGAGCGCACCCATGCTCACTTCCTTAGTTTTTAGTTTCTCAATTTCGTGTTTAGTTGTGATTATAAATAGGGATGTAACAATAATCGAAATATCATGATATTGTATCGTCAAAGCTCTCACAATAATATCGAATTACAAGTCTCTTTGCTTAAATTAAGAGTTATGGTGCAGCAATAACTAAAAAAAAGACAAAAGAACTGCATAGACCATGATCCTTTGCTCCGTTTCAGTGCAGACTACATGTAGAAATAACAGTTTTAAGCACTTTTAAGTCTTAGTTCTTTGGATTAAGTCTTGTCAAGGCTTTTTAAGATGAAAAAGCAGCATATTAACAGTTTTGCTTGTAAGCCTCCGCAAAATATCGCAATAAATATCGTACCGTGAGATGTATATCGTGAAAATATCGTACTGAGAGATTGGAATATTGTTAATCATGAGCCTTCCC